CGGTGGCATCGCCCTGTCTGGTCCCACATCAGCACACCCCTGCTGGCCGGGGGGGGAGCAGAAAGGGCTGGGGACGGAGCTGTGCCCTTCTCCGAGGGGCAGGGGCATTCCAGGACCTCAGTACTTCTTGCTCCTGACACCCAGGTCTAGCCAGCGGGGGACTGTCGGCGGGGCAGCCTCCCTTGCTGCCCCTGCCCAGGTAGGAGAGCAGATGGTGCTGCTTTCAGGCACCCCTAGAGCCCCTGTGGTCTGATCCCATCCTCACTTTACCCTTCCGAGGGTTAAGGTTCACTAGAAAGTGCAGAAGTATTTGTGTGTTGTTTCCTGGGCTTTGTGTCAACCTTAAGGTGAGAACTGAAGAAAGTCCTGTATTCCCACACCCAGAATGTAATCAGCTGAAATTCTTCTGCTATGATGATATCTCCTTAGCATGTAAATCACAGAGGACTCCCTTTTTTTTTTTTTTTTTTTTTTCCACTGTGCAAAATCCTGCTCTGGAGAGTGTTCCCAAACCGCTCCGACACGCCCAGACCAACTAATCCAGGCGAGCTCAACTTTCTGGCCGAGCCAGTAAGGCTGGTACCAAGCAGCTCTGGGCAGACGTGCTTCCCGCTCTGCTCCCCATGGCTGCTGCCTCCCACCCGCCGGGCAAACCTGGCGCCCACGTCCCATGGTGGTTGGGCAGGGAGAAAGCACCGTGTGTCCCCCAGGCTAAGGGCATTGCTGGCTTTGGGAATGCAAAGGGCTCTTACAGGAGATGGAGCAGGGAAAGGGAAGAGAGCATCTTGTCCTACCTGCTGCAGGCACCAGCATCCCTCGCTCCGTGCTCAGCCCTTTGCTTTGGAGCAAGGGGGCACAGGCAGGGATGTTTTTTTCCAGTGCAAACCTCCTGCATTGTCCCCATCTCTGCTGGGGCAACTTCTGAGCTTCTGCTTCCCTAAGAGGGGTGGGTGATGCTGGAGCAGCAATGCTGACCTCGTCGCAGCTCACCGTAGAGTGGGTTTTGCCAATGGGTCAGTGCTAAGCTGACCTCGTTAGCTCCTGAAGAACTCTGTGCCACCCAGCAGCTGAGTTCAGGGTGCAGGGTGCTCTGCAGGGTGTGCAAGGCACCCATGGGTGGCTCCTGGTCTGTGCTGGGCAGAGATACTGGGCTCTTCTCCAGAACAGCTGGGGTTATTTTTTCCCTATAGATACTGAGCCTGAATTTTGGGCATCCCTAGGGTTGGAAATTGATCCCTCAAGGATGGAAATGTGAAACCCAAAGTTTCCCTGATGGACCAAAAGAGCTAGAAGCCAGGAGCACCTGGGTTCCTGGGAAGGTGTCCCATGCTGATTAGCTACTGCTTTGGTCGGCGGGGATTGCAGGTGCGTGCGGAGCCCAGCACAGAGCTCCCGGCTGTAAGATACCTTCACCAAAAAGCACCTTTGGCTCTTGCCTTCTCAAATGTCACGTTTGCCTGGGGTTTTTACCTGCTTCTCCCTTCTGTGCGCCGACAGCCAGTCTCCCCCCGGTCTCTGGAAGGGCCTCAGGATCGCTTGGTGTGGAGTTGTTTGTTGGATGTGCCCGTGAGAGCGTGAGCTGTAGGATACAGGGAGCACAAATGCTGCCTTGGCCAGGCAGGAGGAAAGGGCTATCCCCGGCCCCTGTGCGGTGACTGTGACACCCGTGGGGCCGAGCATCGCAGGGGTGTTCCTACACACCGGGGCTGTGTGGCAGGGGAGCCCTGCCCCCCTCCTGCACCAACCTGCAGGACAGGGCACAGGCACTGCCTGTCCTTGGAGCTGGACGGGAACCCCGTGGGCACCGGAGGGGAGGTGGGGAACGAGAGCCAGGGCTGAGTGGCTGTGGTTTTGTCATGTGCAAATATGTCCCCATTGGCTTCACACACAGCAAAGCCATCTTTTTCTGGAGAAAAGGAGGCTACGGGGAGACCTGATTGCGGCCTTCCAGTAACTAAAGGGGGCCTATAGGAAAGATGGGGAACGTCTTTTTAGTAGGGCCAGCTGTGTTAGGACAAGGGGAAATGGTTTTAAACTAGAACAGGGTAGGTTCAGGCTAGAGGTAAGGAAGAAATTTTTTACAATGAGGGTGGTAAAACACTGGAACAGGTTGCCCAGAGAGGTAGTGGAGGCCCCATCCCTGGAAACATTCAAGGCCAGGTTGGATGGGGCTCTGAGCAATCTGATCTAGTTAGCAGTGTCCCTGCTCACTGCAGGGGGGTTGGACTAGATGACCACTAGTGGTACCTTCCAACCCTAAACATTCTATGATTCTATGATTCTATGATCTTCCCACGGGACGTTAATGGTGGTCATAACGGTGCCAGTACCAGTGCCAGACACCTTGGGGAGGGGAATGGGCCATGGCTGATGCCAACATGAGCTGTACTCACCACAGCTGCTTCTTCCTCCTTCTCCTCCTCCTCCTCCTTGACAGCACCAGGCGGTGCCTGGGTGGCATTGGGCCAGCAGCAGGAGAAGCGCAAGTGGCCCCAGCCTGTTTCCCTGCCACGGCCAGAGTCTGACAGATCCAGCGGCGCATCTGCACCATCATCCCTTGCCGCCTTCACCTTTTCTTGGAGCTCGGAGCCATCCCGGGTCAGCCAAAGCTCCTTCTCTTCCTTCCCATCGGCAGCATCCTCCAGGAAGGACCTTTCCCCCTTGCATCCTGGCGGGATGCTCAGCCATGGGGAGAGGGGCCGCTCCTCGGGCGCGAGCGGCGGGTCTCCATCTGCCTGCTGGCCCAGCTGGCACTGCTGCATGAGGAGATGCTGCAGCCGCTCCCTGTGCTTGAGGAGGTGCAGCTTCTCCTCCAGGTGCTGATCCCTCACGTACACCATGGCGGCAGGGAGCTTCAGCAAGGCTGCGTGATCTTCCCAGCCATCACGCAGCCGCGTCCTACCGTCGGTGTCTTTGGCCCTGAGCAAATGGCTGGAGAAGCTGCCGCCGTCCCGGTCAGCCGAGGCACAGTTTCTTGCCAGCCCCAGCTGGTGCAGGGAAAGGTGCTTGTGGAGGAGGCAGAGCTGCTCTCTCCGGGCAGTCAGTTTTAGGTTTTCGTAGGATGGAGTAACCTTGGGGGAGTCCGCTTTGCTTGCTGTTAAATAACTAAAAGAAGCAGGAAAAAAAGAACCGCGTTAATTAGGCAATTTTTGCGTGATTTCCCAGCTCCTGCAGGTGATGTGCATGGTCTCTCCTGCTCTTTCTGTGCCCTGTTGCCTGTTGCAGCTCTTGGCCCCTGCATCACACTTGCCTTTGGGTGCTGTGCTGGGTAGGATGGTCCCAGTGGCCGTGGGGGTCAGGCACCACAGGAAACCATCGCCATCCCACCATCCAAAAAGCCTCTCCTGTCCCTGGGCCACGGCAGCTCCAGGCAGGGGGTTGAGCGAGTGGGGGGGATGTAGTGACCGCTCACATCAGCACTGCTGCTGAGAAGTCACTCGTCAAACCATGCCTTACAGCCAGAAGCATCCTAACTACTCCCCACTGGGCTTTCTTAGTGCCTTGGTGGCCCTGAAGACCTCCAGGACAGAGAAACAGCCCGCCTTCCCCTAATCTCACTCCATGGGAGATTTTTACAGCCATGCTAAGAAGGTCGGAATGGTGCATGAACCTGCCCTGCAAACTGGATCCCTGCTACCGCTGGTTATTTGGCAGCTTCCATGTGTGTGGGCTTTTCCCAGGAATGTTTGGACCATCTACTCCCACTCTGGGAAACTCACTGTCTCTGCAGGTGAACTCACAGGCTTTGCTCAGCCCTCTGCGCTTCTGAAATCAATGGGGAGGAGAAGTCCGGGGAAGTGCTGAGCCCTGCAGAAAAGCCCATCAGAATAGATAAGGGGGAGCGGGGATTGCTGCCTCCCGGGCAGACGGCAGGTCCTTCTCCTCCCTGCTGGAGGTGGGGGCACCCGGTTTGCTTTATGGGTCTGTCTGATGAAGCTGGAGTAAAGAGAGGCTGATCTCGTTGGGCTGGATTCCAGTCATTTTTTGCTGGCGTCAACTGGGAGACCCCCTCCCTGCCCCCTCCCCAAGGCTGTGGGAGAAGTCTGGAGAAGAAGGTGGGCAGATACAGTGAATAGAGGTCATGTCATTGCAGTCTGCCCTGTGGGAGAGCTGCAATGGGCCATGGATCAGCCCCACACTGTGACCCACGAGCAGGTAACTCACGCCTCAAAGCTGGGGCTGCGCTCCTGCTCTGGCGGGAGAGGAGTCTTCCTTGCTGGTGGGGACACTGCTGCTCCCGAAGGACTTTTTTCCAGGAGGCAGGGTCTGGAGCCGGGTCTCACCAGGGCAATGGTTCCATGCAGCTGGTTGGAGATCCTCTGGGATGCCTGTGGCAGAGGGGACAAGTCCAGGTGAGCCATTCTGCTGTGCACCCTGGGCAGCGCGTGGCTACAGGGGACAAGACGGGCAGCTCCCAAGTGCTGCATTTGATACAATTCTGGTCAACAGCTCAATCATATTTTTATTGGTTTTCCCAGGAAATTTCCCCTTCATGTTTTCTAGCAGGATCTACAGTACCCTTTATTTTCTGGCTGCACTGCTTTGTAGCTCAGGAGGTCTTGTGCCTCCTCTCAAGTCAAGCCAAGCCATGATTCAGTGGCTTAACCGAGATAAGACCCTGCAAATTCCCTGACCCCTCGTCAGGCCACTGGACTTCATTCATGCAAGCTCCGGGCATGCACTGATTTGATGGGTGGATTTCCAGTGGAGTACCTGGCTGTGAGACCAGGACATCATCATCTCCGTCTGCTGTCATGAAAGGCTCACCACATGTTCTGACTTGACTTTCTCCTGCCCACCTGGAGATGTCACCAACCCTTCCTGCAATCCCTATTAATTATCCTCACAGCCTGCCTGCAGCCTTACCAAACCCCCTTTTCAGTTGCTCTTTCAAGTTTTCTGTGGAGTTCAGGTAAGCGAAGCCCGTGCCAAAACAGGAGCATCTGTGTGGGTGCGTATGTGGGCTTGAGTTCCCACAGCCAGGAACAGGGCTCCAGGTCCTGCAGTCTCACCTCCCAGTGCCCCGTATCACCATATCACTCAGCATCCCTTGGCTGGCATGGACTCTCTCTGTGTTTTAAAGGCATGGCAGGCTTGCATCAACGCACAGCATGGCCCCTGCTGAATGCCAGGCCCTCTGAAAATACTGATATTCATTATGCTGCAGATGGAGAGACATCTGCGATGCTGCTGGGCAGGGCTGCTGCGGTGTATTTGTTCTCAGTGCCCACAACTCCCACAGTTTACATGTTCTCCAGGCTTTTCCAACTGCTCCAGCTTCTTGCTCGCCTGGATAATGGAGAGCTGACGCTGTAACTCTGGATAAGCTACACTGAAATGTAGCGTAATCTCCCCAGGTCCTTCACTCCTCAGAGCTTTCCCCAGCAAGACACCTGAGAGAGGAACTGGAGCAATGGGCAGAGGGCTCAAGGATGCTAGACCTGTTGTCATGGAGGATAAACACAGCAGCAAAGAAAGGTGAGCGGGGACAGGAACCTGTGCCAAATTCCAAATGCTTTGCTTGCAGCACGTGGCAATTTCTGAAGAGCGGATGCATCTGGCATTTGGTAGGTGCCCCTCTTGGCTCTGATAATGGCAAACTGCCCAAGTCTGGCTAATTATTTTACCCCCTAAATTCCTCCTACTCCTTCTCTATCCTAGTCCACCCCCCCTTGATCCAGTTCAGATGACCACAGTGGTGGAGAGAAGGCCTGAGGACATCAGGCTACCTCCAGCAACTCACAATTTCTGCAAGGTTGACTTCTTGGAGGACAGTGCTCGGGGAAGTCCTGCTGCTTGGAGAGCTTCTCTGTCCTGCAGGCTTTTCTGCAAAAAGAGGCACAACCAGCTACCATGACGGTCCTGCAGAGCTGTTGCAGGCTGCCCTGCCCTGCCCTGCTGCGTGCCAGAGTCTTGCAGCCTCCCAAGGACGCCGCTGGCTGGCACCAACCACCTCCTATGCAGGATTTTGAGCCAAAATTTCCATCTGGCTCAAGCCACCGCCTGAATGAACGTACCCTCTGTTGCATGTGCGGGTGGCAGCAAGGCAATGACACGGTCTCTGTGTGAAATGGGTGGCGGGTCCACACCTGCACAGCACTCATGTTACAGTGAGAGCACCCAAGCGCTCTTCGGCTCTAATGCAGAGCAGCGTTTCTCCCCTGACATGCAGCTTCGCCCCCAGCAGCTCTTCTGGCCATCGCAATGTCCGTCTGAGCTGCTGACAGCTTGGCCTTTGCTCGCCAGACCCTTTCCCAGAGAAGCTTTGCACCATGGCTCCATCACACCATCCCTGGGTCCCTTGAGGGTGGTGGGAGCCAGCAGCACCCACCTTCTCGCAGCTCGAGACCTGCCACGTCATGGTGGGCTTCTTCTGCTCCCCTGTGAGCTGCTTTCTCGCTGCCGGTGTTCCTGCTCGCTGGGGACAGTAAAGCCAAGGGGGAGCTGGGGGTGGAGCTGCTTTCTCTGGAGGTGACTCCTGGGGGCTTTGCCCTGTCCCTGTTGAAAGGAGAAGGACATGAATGAATGAGAAGGGGAAGGAGAAGGAAACCAGCAGTTTGAGACCCATGGTACTGGGAGTTCTGAGTTATAGAGCCCAATAGATAAATATACATATTTATACCTGTATGTATGTGGATATACCAGATCCTCAGACTCACCTCCTTCCATTGCTAGCTCAGCTGCAGTCTGGAGCATGGGACAGAGCCAACACAACAGCTCAAGGTCTGATTTCCCCACTTGCCTGTGGGTAATGCTGCAGGAAGCCACGGTGCTGGGTGAGCCAGAACCCAACGGCGGCTATTGCAAAAGCTCTGTGGGAACCTGTACATCCCTGGCTGGGCTTTCAGCCTGATGCAGGGGTGGATGCAGCACGGGGATGTGGTGGCTGTCCCCCTTCACCATAGCGATGGCTGATGGTCTTGGTCACTATGAGGGAGTCACTGAGTCTTGGAGACCCACACTTATATCATGGACAAAGTCCTGGCTGGACCCTGATGCCAAGATATGGGTGTTTGTCTGGAAATGTCCCTATCCAGCCCTCCAGGGCAGAGAAGAGCAGAGCAGGAGCACTTGGTGCTCAGCAAATCCAAGCCTCCCCGACTTGAAACACCTCAGGCCCTGGGAAGCATCGGGGAGTAAAAGCGAGAATTTCTCTTTAAGGGGATGGTGCATCTGTGCTCCAAAGAAAACACATTTCTGAACTAATCCCTCAGTGCTAATTCCTCTGGACTTTAAACCTTTGAGGAATGAGCTGATTTGTGTATATTAGCCAGCCTGGCAGGTTACTTGGCTTTCTCACTGCTGGGAGATGAACCTGTTGGTGCAGATCGCTTCTCCCTCTTAACCCCATCCCAGCCCCTTGGTGTCACTCCCCTTCCCCCCAGACACAACCTGCTTCCTGCAGATCCTCTCTGGCTGCTGTGGGAGGGCAGCTGGTGCCATGGGAAAGCCGTGGAAGCCCACGCTGACATCTGTGGCCAAGGCAAGCAGCTCAGGGCTTTGCTTCCCACGAGCAGTCCCCCATGGGGGGGTCTTGAATACCCTTGTTCCCCAAAAAACTGAATTAGCGGATGCGGGTGAACGAGGGGGGTGAGCAAAAGTCAACAAGGACTTAGAGACCATTTGGGGTGTTTCAGTGTCTACAGGAATCCATAGGAATTAGATGCTAAAATATCCCTGAGGATGCTGCGGTCCGGACGTAGCCCTGCTCAGCTGCGGGGATGCCTCTGTCTGTACCAACACCCCTCATAACGAATGAAACCCGGGAGAGCACTTACTCCAGGCTCCGGAGCCTCTTCAGTTCTTCCTTGAGAGTTTTGTTCTCTTCCCTCAGGCGGTTCGTCTCGTTAGCTGCAGGGACACAAGTTGTGCCGCGGATTCAGGCGTCGCAAGGAGAGAGCTGATGATGCTCCTCGCAGCTTGCTGGGGTGCATGGGGAAGGAGGAGGAGGAGGGAGCGGCACCAGGTTTTGGAGGGATGCCAAATTTCCTTCCTTCTCTGAAAGCATTCTGGGGGCTAAGGGATAAAAGGGAGCAACTTTCCGACTCGGGTTTGGTCAGGACTGGGGTCTGCTTGCAGCCCATCCAGCTCAGGGGGCGAGCGCGACCCAGATGGGGTGGGACAGATGCAGCCGGAATCCTGCCCGTGGGCACCGTGGCTGCCTCTGATGAGCGGGTGCTGCCTTAGGGGGAGGGCTGGGGGTGTCAAGTGGGATGGGATGAAGGCCAGAGGGAGCTGCGAGCACCCAGCAGCCGGGCACCGCAGCGAGGAGGGTGGGCTGCTGCCTCGGCTCGCTCCTGCTCAAAAGCAGCACTGGGGGAGCAATGGCATAACAGGGGAGATAAACCAAGGGCTGCTGGCACCTCTCCGTCCCTCTTAATGCCTTATCTCCTTTTACCCCCATGATCCTCCCTGGGCCAGCCAGATCCCCAGGGAAAAACACCCCGAGCCTGAGTGGTGCTGGGAGCTCTGCCAAAGGCTCTGGAGAAGATCCATCACACGTGTTGCTTGATTTCCATTTACCCGTGCTGAGCCGCTGCTGTGCCTTCCCTGTCTTTGCCAGAGTGCTGCTCCTGCGGTGCCAAATGCATCTTTTTTCCAGGCAGCTGACATGGCCTGGCCAGCTCGGGGCTGCTCTTGGTGTAAGCATCACTCGTTTTTCTGGAGGTGCAGAGGGCTGCAACCCCCCCAGCTCTGCCGCTTTGTGTGAGCAGTTACCTCTGCTTGGGGGGGACGTGGCTGCCATCCGCAGTCCTGGTCAGATCTGATTTTTCAAGGCCCCCCCACTCACATTAGCTCCCTCCCTTCGCCCCATCCCCAAGCCCCTCCTGGGTGCCCGGTCACCGGGAGGACTCACATGCAAACACTTTGGAGAGGCATGAACTGAGCAAAGACTCAGCCAGCCAAAGCCAAGCTTACAGCAGGCAGTGGTACGTACTGAGGATGAAGATGTGCTGCAGGCTCTGGAAATGGGAAGACTCATACTCATTCTGCTTCTTTTTCGCCAGCTCCTGGGTGACCATGCATCTGTCACAGAGACCTGCTCGCAGCCTGGAGGGAAACCCACAGCCGGCAGCTTGTTTTACATTCCCACAGGGGAAAAAAGCTCCTGCCCTCTCCACAGAGAAGCGTGAACACCCAGCCCATCACCCAGAACTGGTCAGAGGTGTTATCGCCTGTGTAGCCCAGCCCTGGCCTTTCCAACCCCCAACACATCCAGTCCCACCACCATCAGCGTAGGAAGGCTCCTCTGCACGTGCCCAGGCTCCCCCAGCTCTCCCAGTAGCCAAGGGGGTGCAAAACCAGACGTTCATGTGTTATATCCCACTTCTGGGAACGCAGCAAACCCCAAACTCTCCCCCTAGGAGGGTGCATTCGCTGCCACCGAACAGCACCCTATGGAAAAATAAATCTTACCTGTTTTCCAACACCTTTACATTTTCTTTAAGGACCTTCTGTTGCTCCCTTAATTGGTGATTTTTTGCAAACAACTCTTCAATTCTCTGAGCATCGCTAATTGAAGAAACAGAACAAAGAAAAGAGGTTTATCAGGTTTCCCCCCCAAATCTGTGCCTTTATCTGCAGCGCCCTGTCAAGGGGAAGGATTTCTGCCCCGTGCCCGCCGTGCTGCTCACACCGGTATGGCTGAATTGCTTTTGCTTTGTGTGGCAGGAGGGAAAACAAATGTGTTAGAGCCCAGAGGCTGCCCTGCAACACTCGCCCTTGGAGTTGGCAGCTTGCTTCATCCTGCTTTATGGCTCCCCAGGAGAGCAAGTGCCTACTGGCGCGAGCATCGCTTGCCAGTGGGAAGGTAAACTGGAGGTGGGCTGGGATCACCCCCAAGCCCTGCCTGTGCTGGGGACTTGCATGGTGAAAGTCACCAAAAGGTTTAAAGTTGGCAGAGCCAGAAAGGCAAACTGTGCTCTCTCAACCCGGCGGCCTCGAAGAAGTGCCCGGGAGGTCTGAAAACGAAGTGGCGTAATCTCTCCTCCGCCCCCCGTCCCGCCGCCGCGTGGGTAGAGCAGCCGTGGTGTTGCTCACCGGCACTTCTCTGTCGTCAGCTCCGTCAGCTTGCTTTGCAGACCTGGAATAATTAACAGAGACGGAGAGGGGGGTATTTATAGCCCATTCCCTGGTACTTCCGAAACAAAATGCGGCGATGGAACTTCAGGAGGGTGCCTGGTTTTGCAGAAACCTCACTGATTTACAAACCTTGTTTCTAAGAAAGGATCACACATCATTGCCCATGTTAAACAATATCACGGTTTAATATAGCTGGGAAAGTTGTACAAAATGTGAGCAGGTTTTGCATTTCCACTGTTTGATGAGTCTGCACTTCTCCCCGCCCCCAAAAAGTCTGTTTTAGTTTTGTTTCTACTTATTTTTCACTACAGCATGCATTTCCCAGGTGGGCAGTATTTTATAAGTCTCAGGGCTGCCAAGCGTCTTGGAGGATATTTACAGCTCAACAGGAACGGCTTTCGTTGATGGATCTGCAGACGTTACACCTCGTCAGATCCATTTTATGCAAAGTAGATGTAAACATGTGGTTTAAATTGCTCAACAGTTTCTTCTAACTCTCACACAGCTTGAAATTGCACAAGAGAAGAATGAATTCATAAGCCAGAATCCTCCAAAAGTGCTGTTGGTTTGTTCATCACATTGATACTGGGAATGATTTTGATAGGAAAACAATTGGATTTGGCATTGGGTTGCTTAACCTAATGGCTCTTATTTTAATAATGTATGACCCGAGGAATAATTTATTCCCCAGAGGGATAAACTATCTAACCTGACTCTAAGGTTTTCTTTAACAGATCCTCACACTCCTGCTGCTTCAGCCTTATAGATTATTGCATCTTCCCACTTTCCCTTTGATCCCTCAGTATCCAAATATTCTCGGATCCGCGTTGCTCGGAGCAGATGCCCAGCAGGTGGGCATGTCATCTCTGCAAACCTCCCAATTCATCTTTATCACAGACCACACCAGCAGGAGCAGGAAAGGAGCCAAATCCCCCTCTGGTTAATGCTGGGAACAAGTGGGATTCCCGCAGGTGGGATCTCCAGAGATATGGGATGCAGGAACACCCTCTCTCTTCTGCTCCTCCTCATTGTCCAAAACGTTACTGATTTTCTCCGTACACCTTTTTGTCCACTGGGATAAGTTGGATAAGCCATACCAAGGTGCCATTGGATGGTGTGGTCCCCTGAGGGCCAGGCTGGGACCCTGCGTCCCCATCCATCCCCATGGGTGATGCTTGCTGAGCCTTAGTTCCCAAAGCTCCCTAATCCTTAGTTCCCAAAGCTCCCTAATCCACAGCCGCTCCTCCTCCCTTCAGGTTATTTCAAACCAAGCAGATCAAGGTGGCATCACAAAGAAACGAACCTCCGCTAGTTTTTAATAAGACTTCTCATGTCTCCTTACCTTGGACCTCTTTCTCATGGATTTCCTTGAGCTTATTCAGGAACTCTGCAAAACTCTCTGTGGTCATGTTCAGGGCTGTGATGCACGCCAGGCTGCTTCCAGCACGAGGATGTCCTTTTGTTTCAAATTATTCAGGTTTCAACCTAAAATAGAAACCAAAAGTCCAGTAAAAGAGAAGTTCTCTTGTGTACATGGTGTTCTGGAAAGTCTTGGAAACAGGACAAAGCCCAAATCTAGAAAGTGAAATCATTTGCCAAACCACAGACATGCACAAAGCCGCAGGCTCATCTGGGAGGCATTTCCAGACCTGTCCACCCTGCCTCAGCCCCAGGCTGGGGGCATGGGCAAAGTGGAGAGCAACGGCTCAGAAAATGGGACAACTGGAAGCTTTTCCTCTACTTTTTGAGCTGGTTAAATCACATTTCTTTGGGACAAGGCCTGGCAGGGCATCTTCTTGCAGAAGGGATTGTGGGACTCATGTTGGGAGTGCATTGCTGGGGACTGATGATGGAAAAACTCGTGACAGCTTTGGTGCTCGAGCCTGATGGACCCATCTCCCATTGGGTCCTGAGATGCTCCTGTGCATCCCTCCTCCCTCTGGCACCACGCACAGCTTGTATGGAGGCAACATGTACCACTCGGCTGCCCTGCTGCCATCGCCCAGGCTCCCTGCGCGGCCTCACTGGCTGCAGCCTCTTCAAACCCTTGGGAGACACCAAACCGAGTGTTATTCACCCCATTTTACAGAGGAACCTGGAGAGGTGATGTGCAGAGCTGAGCTCCACAGGAAACCTGGTGGGTGCAGAGCCGGTGTGGGCACAGCACCCATGGGGCTGAATGCGAGCTGGGGCACCCTGGTGTGTCCCAGCTCCTGCCCCGAGCTCAGGTCTCTGCTCAGCCTGCCCCTGCCTCAGTTTCCCCATTGATGTTATGGGGTAATTAATGCTCCATCATGCTGAGTACCATCACTTAGTGCTGGCAGTAGCGTTCTATAATCCCCAAGTGCTCTGAGATAAAGTGCTCTGCTTTCTAAAAAGCCTTGCTTTTTCCTTTTTTGGTTAAAAACTCCCCCAAAACCCAGGAGGGGTGGAGAGCAGCCCACGACACCCCCATCTCAGTAAGCTGGGAAAGGCAGGAGGTAAAAAACCAGCCTGAAAGTAAAGTGGTTGGTTTTTAAGAATTTTTCCCTAACCCCAGTGATCATGAATTTTGAAATTACTAGCAGGGATGAAAAGCAGCAACTTTGGAGATAAGAAAGTTCATTACATCAGTGATGACCTCATTCCTCCCTGGGATGCTGATGTTGGGATAAACCCTTTCCTTTCCATCAGCCAAAGCCTTGGGGAGCCTCGGATCCCCCAAGATAGCTGTGGGCCCAGGTCCCTCCTGGACCATGTTGGTTCTGGAAGGGGCACGTGTCTGAGCAGTCCCCCAGAGCATCGTGGAGGGTTCCCCGGGGTTTGGGCAGGAGGGGTGTGCAACCCCTGGAGCAGGTCAGCAAAGCCCTGCCCACCTTGGGGTGTCCTCTGGGACCGCCAAAACCACGCTGGGAGAAGAGGGACTTCCACGTGAGGGCATTCAGCATCGTCACATGGGAGCTTCTCCCCTAAAAGTCACGCCGGGTTACTGAGCCATGGCTGGTAATCCCGTTCCCTACAAAGCACCTGGGCACTCAGCCTTCAACCCTGACCAGGGAGAAAACCTCCTCGCTGCTGTTCAAAGGTGGGCTGGGACCTGGGTTTTGCAACCCCACGGTGGCACGGGGAGGTTTCTGCCGGGCTCCGGCACACTCCCAGCCCGGCTCCCTGCCGGCAGCCCGCCTGTGCCTTTTATCTGCATGCAGAGCAGAGGTGTGCCGGATCGCCTGCATATGCAAGATGTGGGCACGAAGAGCTGGAAGAAGAAACTTTCCCCTAAAGCGTCTGATTTTCAAAAGAAATGAGGCACGCGCCGGCGAGCAGAAGCAGGGAGCTCGGCTCGCGGGCTCTTACCACGCTTGGATTAGCGAAACAGCTTCACTGCCTTTTGAGCAAACAAGCAGATCTCTGGAGAAACAATTAAAAATATATATTCATTGCTCCCACTTCCCTGAGCATAACCCATCCTTTCCCAGGGCGGGGTGATCGCTCCCAGCACGTGAAAGCACGAGGCACGGCGTGGCTTGTCGCAGCTCGGGATCAGCTGCCGTGATATGGGATTGGGAACCCATCTCTGCTGCTCAGCCCCGAGAGCCATGGCTCAGTATCGAGCCAGGGGAAATAACACTGGGTTCTACTCCGCAAAAAAACCCAACCCCCTGATGAAAAGATGTTAACGGGAAGCACTTCCCAGGATTGCTGAGCCCTAAATTCATCTCTGCCCTGGGCAAAGCACCTCCCCAGGGCTGAAGGTTGTGAGACCCATCGCTGCCGTCGCGGGGCTGGAACCCTGAGTGCTGGCTGGGAAGGCTTTGAAGTGCTCAGGCACTAATTCCCATTGCATTCCCCAGTGCTGTAAACTGGGAAGGATTGCAACTGGGAGCAGAGCCATCGGTGGCCATGTGGGCTCCCTGTGATGCTCGCTGGTGCTGGATCAGCCCCTGCCCACCTGGGCGCTGCCCTGTCCCCGAGGCTGGTGTCTTGGAGGGCTGAACAGCCCCCGGCATTTTGGGCCACAGGGCTCCAGCTGGGACACCCGGGGAAGGTAACATCCAGGCTGGGACTGGTGCCAGCCCGTGGTTTGGGGAGGCAGGGCTGGGTTTGGACGCGGTGGGAGGTGGAGGGCAGGGGGGGGCAGCCCAGGTGCTCAGTGCCTGATCCGGATCCCTGCTGCTGTGACTCAGCGCTGCGGGCAGAGCCCGGCAGACCGGGATTTGGGGCTGGGGTGTGGGCAGCAGCTTTGCCTTCCGTGCATGGCTGCGGCTGCAGTGGTACCAGGGTCAGGGCGCACTCCTGATTTTCTTTTCATCAGAGCCCCCAGGTTCAGAGGGGATCTGTGACATGCTGGGGTCTGATCAGCAGGGAAAAGCTATTTATTGCCACCTTCAGTGCTTTTTGAGATGCCAGGATCTGTCCCTGCCTGCAGGTAGGACTGCCACTCTGTGGCAAACCTGGTGAGGGCGTTGGGTCTCTGGTCTGTGCACACCCACGGTTACAGAGATGTTGCACGAGCATCACCCCCCGTGTGTCTGCACCCAGGATTTGGCCTTTTGCTGCAGCAGAGCAACCCCACAGAGAGCCCAGGCTCTCCCCTGTGTTTGGCTTTGCTCCTTCTCACCCGGTGTGGACTGGCCAAGGTGTGAAGCCGCAGCCCCTCACTCCTCCACCCTGCTTGAGAGGATTTATTGGGGGAGATTTATTGATGAAGACCAGACCACAGAGTCCCTCAGTGTAGAGCTCGCTCCCCGAGACAGGGATTTCATTTACAGCCCTGAGCCCCTTCCAGACCTGTCACTGTAATATACACCCGGCGGTGCCAGATGCGGCCCCGCGGTGGGGCTGGGAGCAGCCCTTTGGCGTGCCAGTGGGGCCGGCTGTATTTCAAAGTGACGGGTGCCCTCCGCAAACAGAGCCTCAGTGTCAGGGACCAAAGGGAAACTCCTCATCCAGCCCCTAAATCCAGTGGGTTTGGAAAACCCAAGCCCCCTGGGGCAGGGCTGTTGCTGACGGCCATGGCTTTGCTCACCTGCTCTCCACGTCCCCTGATGCCCAGCTCAGGGTGGGACACAGGGTCCAGGTTGGGGCACAGGGTCCCTGGCACGTCAGCTCTCATGCACGGGGCTGGGACAACCCCCAGCATCGCCTGGGTACGGATGGCATCGCTCCTCGGGTTGGGATGCTCCTGACTGCAGCTGGGGAAAGGAAAAGCAGCAGGGAGGTTATTTCCCAGCCTGTGCCAGGGGGCTTGGGAAGGGACGGGAAGGGACCGACTCGGACAGGCGCTGCCAGCACAGCCATCCCCCATTCCCTGGTCCCTGGGGGGGTTCTGGCCTCTCCTTACCATCCCCGGTGCTGCCAGCCACACTTGCATCGAGCCACAGCACATCCTCACCCTCAGCACTGTTTCTTTTCAGAAGAATAAATCAGCTCGTTAGCTAAATGAGCTTAAGATGTTAAAAAAAAAAAAAAATAAAAAAAGGCAGGACTCTGAAGTTCTGACACGGAACTCCAGCAGTGCTGGAGTTGTTCAGCTTCAGGCTGGATTTATGTAATACACCTTTCACTGGGTGATTTGCCAGGCAGGGCTGCTTTCACCAGCCAAACTTCCTTTTCTTGGCTACCCTACTAGGCTCCTGATCTAATTTTAGAATTATAAATTGAATTTATACTCAGAAAAGCTGCCTGATCACTCATGGAAAATCTGCAGTGCCAGGAGTATTTTGCAGACCAGGGTGAAGCTGATCCACTTTGCTGATATACTGTGCACTTGGAAGACGGGGAATTTTTTTGTGTGTGTATTGGTGTTTTTTTTTTTTTGTTTTTGCTGGGCATTTATTTATTTGTATGACTTAACATGGCACAGGCTGCCCTAAAATGGAGCCCAGCGCTCACTCTCTACCACGCTGGTTTTGCACGCGGGTGTTGCATAGGGGCTGGCAGATTGCAAAATTCCCCCCCGACAGGTGAGACAGGAGGAGCAGCTTTGGCTCTTGCCTTGCCAGGGAGGAGGATTCGGTGCCTTCCTCCACCTCGCACAACCCGAATATCCTCCCAGAAGCGGGGCAGCCGCTCTGTGCTGCTCCACCAGCCCAGGGGCCGGTTTGCAGGGAGCTCTTGCTGCAGACAGCCTGCCCTAGGGTCGCCTCCGCTGACGTTGGGTGGGGATCCCAACCCGGTGGTGCAGAGCTGCAGAAGGGCCATGATCTGCCTCGCTGGCCTCTTGGGTTTGCTGGGGACTGGCACTGGCTGCAGCCCCCCGGACTGGGGACCGGCACCCCAGGGAGGTGCTGCCCCTGCTCACCTGTGTGCAGACGTGCCCCATTTTGGGGAGAGGAGAACAAGAGCGAATCCGCCAAGAGAAGCCTCCGGTCCCAGCCCACACACCTATTTCCTTCAACCCTATTCAAGTCTGTGTTGCCATAATACAGCG